TTGAATATGTTTGACTTTCATTCTATTCAATTAGCTTTTTTGAAAGCATTTGAATTTCATTTGATTCAATTAGCTTTGTAGAATGTATTTGACTTTCATTCGATTCAAATAGCTTTGTTTGAATGTGTTTACTATCATTTGTTTCAAATCTTTGTTTAAAAGTGTTTTACTTTCATTTGATTTAATTAGCTTTGTTCGAATATGTTTGACTTTCATTTGATTTAATTTGGTTTGTAGAATGCATTTGACTTTCATTTGATTCAAATAGATTTGTTTGAATATGTTTGACTTTCATTTGATTCTATTATCATTGTTGAATGCAGTTGACTTTCATTTGATTCAAAAAATATTTGTTTGAATGTGTTTGACTTTCATTTGATTCAATTAGCTTTGTTCGAAAGTGTTTGATTTTCATTTGATTCAATAAGCTTTGTTGAATGCATTTGACTTTCATTTGATTCATAATTCAATGTTTGAATGTGTTTGATTTTCATTTAATTTAATTAGGTTTGTAGAATGTGTTTCAATGTTTTATTATGTCCTTTAGGAGAGGTACAATTCTAAGACTGACTTCTGGACGCCTGTACCTACAAAACAACGGAGACTCTGGTGGGTGGGAGTTCCTCCTTCGACAATCAAGTTAGATTGTATATGAGAAGTAAAGTGCGGAAAGTAAAAGGTCTCTCCCGAACTCCAAGAGAGTATCTGCAATGTGTAGATGCTCAGTTCGAGGTGTTAGGTGTCTGACTTTCCCTAATTGTGAGTTAATGTGTATTTTTGAATTGATGTTCCTCATAGGGAAACAACTCCCTTCTATAGGGTGTTGGAATGGTTTTAGTAAACTTAGGGCTGACTGGGCCTTGCCTAGGAATTTGGGCCGTAGGAGGCCTACTTTCCTAGTTGACAATTTTTGCCTGCCACGTGTCGTGACCTGATTGGTCGACCTTGGACCCCTCAAAAGGTGTCACGTGGAGGGCTCTGATTGGTCCACGTGGATGATATGTGGCAGGGCTTCTTTGGTCCAAGTGTCGGGAAAAAATCCCCTTATCATTTGCCCCTCACAAGGGTGACATGGTATGCCACGTGGCGCTTGTGACAGGTGTCACGCTATGATTGGGTAACGGTCTTTTTCGTTTTTTTTTTACCCTTGAAATTCCCCCCTATAAATAAGGGGTGTCCAAATCATTTGGACATTCTAGAACTTTTTAAACACAGAACTTTGGACGTTTGCTCCGATACTTTAGATGACTGCCGCTTGTTTACAGACTGCCAGTTCCCAGCCTGCCTGCTTCTTCAGCCGCTCAGTTTTTCAAAAGTTCCAAGACTTCTCTACTTAAAGGTAACCGCCTTTTCCCTTTTCCACTTTCTCTTTGTGTTTTCTTTTTTTTTTTTAAATGGTAGCCCAAAAGCGCCAGGCACGACCTATGTTAGTGATCAGCCGATCACCTGGGACAACTGAATCTAGAACTAGGAGTGCCGCCTGCCCCATGCTAGATCACCCTTTGCGAACTGCCCAGAGTCCGACTGTCTATGTGGCTATGTAGGACACCATGGCTAGAACAAAGAGAACGGCCAGAATAACAAATTCAGACGACTCCTCATACTATGCGCCCATTAACGAGATCTCGGACATGCCAACAGGCGTCCCAAGCACCCCAAGTGATTCTATTTTGGCAGAATTAGGCCGGGGAGGAGGTTTAGAATGATCCTCCTATCATTGATCTATCCGGGCGGGCGACTGCTTTGCCCGAGAGCTCGAGCGACGACTCTGAGCCCAGCATGTCCAGTCGGTACTCTGACGACTTAGAGGAGAAGCACTCTCGGCTATATACAGCGAGAGAAAGCCATGAGACTGTGAAAGGGGAGAGATGGGCAGAGCCGGCTGTAACCCAAAGGGAAATGTATACCCCTTACTTTTGCTATGTTCCCAAAGGCAGGCGCAAGGCCATGTTTGAAAAGATTGAGAGTTTTAGGGCTGACCACGTAATGGGTCATGGTTACATTCTAACAGTGTTGGATGCCGAGGATACAGTAGTCTGGCCAAAGAAGTCCAACTACAACGACGAGTATTTTGGCTGCTATGAGGCGGCCATTAAAGCTGGTTTAAGATTTCCTCTACATCCGGCTGTAGAGAGGATTTTGGATGGGTACCAGCTTGGTCTCTAGCAACTGGCCCAAACTCATGGTTCAATATCTTAGGCTATGTTTTCTGCTGTGAGATGTATGAGGTGGAGCCAAGCTTCGAAGCTTTTTCTCACATGAACTACCTCAGTCGGACCCTAAAAATTAATGGGACCGGCTGGTTCAAGATGACTAGCCACAAAGGCTACATGATTACTATGGGGAAGGAGAGCAAGTGGAAGGATTGGAGGAACACCTTCTACATAGTCTCCCACCCTAACAAGGTCAAAAACCAGAAGTTCAATAGGTTAAATAGGGATCCACCTTACCTAACAGGCGGATCTGATCTGCCGCCTGTTCCTAAAATAGCAAAGGAAGAGATCCTTGATAGAGGGCTCTTCAAAGTTGACATACAGGCGAACCCCGAGACTGGCGTGAAGGATTTCATCCCTCAAAACTACATCCCAAAGTATAACTGGTTATACGATGGGGTATACCTGGCCGCCTGCGGCCTTAGTGAGGAGATGCCGAAAGGTAGTGGGCCGCCTATTTAGGGTGTCTTGATAGACTTGACAAATTATGTGTCTACATTTGGATCGTCTTTTGCAGATAAGGCTATGGACAAGATCTCGGCCTCCAAGAAAGTAGCCGCCTAACTCCGCGCAGCAACTCTTGGCAAGCGATCCACTAAGGAGTCGCCTGCCAAATAGGCGCCTAGGGTGAGCTAATTTACCTTGGCACAATTTTCTCTCCCTTTTTTTATCTATCGCCTGTTTTTGACTCAATTACTTATTACAGAGTGACGCTGTCAGACCTTCCTCCTCTTCCCAGCCGGACCCGAAGGTCAGAAAGCAAACGACTGGGGATGTGTGTCAACTCTTGGCAAAGCCAGGAGACAGACGGCCGAAAGGCAAGGAAGGACTCCCCAAAGCGGGGCAAGGACTCCGGCCACCCCTAGGAGCAGCCATCCTCCAAGAGAAAAGGAGGCGGCGAGAGGTATAATTTGTTCAAATATTCAAATTATCGTCGAGCAACTGAGTCCTCTGATTTCAGGCAGCTAGTTTTCTATTTCCATGCCACGTATTAATCAGGGTCTACCTTGCGAATTCCCTCAAAAGCTGGACCTGGTTCAGATGGCCAAGGCCATGCTGAAGGCCATCCCTGCTGAGGACAAGGAGTCTGTTAAGGGAGTCGGCACCCTTAACCTTGAAGCCATCATGGCTCTTCTTGCTAAGGTTACTTAGTAAAAAAGTTCTCTCTTTTTATTTAAACATTTCCCTAGTCGCCCGTAACTGACAACTGTTTTTGGCGGGTTGCAGTCTATGCTGCGAGTGTATGGTCTCCGCAAACCCATCACCAAGAAGAAAAAAGAGATAAAAGCTGCGAAGGCCATGGCCGCCTCTGATTCTGATTAAGCTATGTTCTAGATAGCACAAAACGAGATTCTGACCACTGACATATTATATTACCAGGCGTCCGCCACTTTGCAGGTCAAGAAGGACTTAGAGGCAGCCAGGAAGAAGATCTTGGAGCTGGAGAAGTCTGTAAAGGACCTCAAAGGTGAGATGACGCCTCTAAAGGAGGCAGACAAGGAGGCCAAGGGACTCCACGCCCGGGTGAACAAGCTCAAGGGCCGCCTGCAGAATCAAGAGGATGACCTCACCCAGAAACTTAACGAGAAAGCTTGCGAGGAGAAGATGGCTCTTGTTCAGGACATGATGGACGACTGCAACGCCATTATGAAGATGACCTGGGCAGCCCTCTTCCCTGATACCGGCTATGAAAAATAGGGGAGTCAATTCGCTATTTGTACTGATCAAAACAACAAAAAGATCATGGGGCCGGCAAACGGCGAGGAGGAGGCGGAGGATGAGGCGTCCGACTCCACTTCCGGGGAGTCAAACCAGGAAAAGGATGACAAGCAGGAGGCGGATGCTGGTGAGGAGCCCCGCACAGGAGGAGGCGGATGCCGATAAGGAACAACCGCTGGTTGATGATCCAAATCAAGCGGCTGCCGACACTGAAGGTCCTCCTCCAGCTCCTTGAACTCATGTTTTTCTTTATATGTCAACTTTCTTTGGCAGTGTGCCACTTGTTCTGTATCATTACTCGACCAAGGGGTCGGTGTTTATTGACAATTTCAAATTTTAACATTTCTAGTCGGTTATCTTGCCGACTGTTTATATTAATCCTCCAGCTGTTTTTGCCAGTATTCTTCAAATTTTTGCTTTTCATGAATTTTGCTAAGTGTATGTAGCTTGCCTTTTTGTATGTTTTCAAGTGCCGATTATTTTGGTATACCGACTGTTCTTGCCCCTGGCCGGCTGTGCACCTGGTTTCTAAGGTTGATGGATTCACACTAGTAGAAAAAATGAAATAGGCACCCCCCTTTTAGCACCGATTCTTGAAAACCGGTGCTAAAAAAAATGGGCGGAATTGCAAAAATCAGTGTTGGCACCGGTTCCACCCAAAACCGGTGCCAATCATTTCATTAGCACCGGTTTAAACCGGTGCCAACTTATTAAAAAAAAAAAACCGGGCTCGCTTTTCTTTCTTTCTTTCTTTCCCCCCCGTTTTTTCCATCTTCTTTCTCACAGATCCTGATCTATTCTTTCAAAAATACAAATTAGGGTTTCTTCGTTTTTTCTCTTTCCCCCTTTTTAAGGTTCGTCTTTTCCTCCTATTCTTCTTCCTTTTTGTTTGGGTTAGCATAGATTTGACTCTACTGTTTTCGGATTCAACTGCATTTTCTACTTCGTTATTGGTTTGATTCTACTTTGATGATTTTCATGTGTTTTTAATTTGTTGGTGTTTTTACTGATTTTTGATTGATTGGGGTTTTTTTTCGTCATTGATTTTTGTTGTTAATTTGGTTTTTTTGGCTGTTAATTGCGTAGTTTTTATTTATTAGGGTTTCCAAGCGGCGAATTTGTTTTTTTTTTGTTTGTTTTTCTAATTGTAATGGTTGGTATTGATTTGAGTTTCAATTCTCTTACTTCCACCGTCCTGAATTTTCACCTTCTCCATTCTGGTTAAAGCTATGTTTTGTTTGAGATTGTTTTAGTAATAAAAAGGTGAACTAAAATCCTGATTCTTCGGTTGTGCGGAAATTTTGAGGGGTTTAGTATTATTTAGAGCTAGATTCTTCAAGTTGTGCAGAATATGAGGGGTTCAAATTATTTAGAGCAAGATTCTTCAAGTTTTTTTGAATTCCTCTCTCAGTCCGTCACCTCCGACTGCTGAGCGGCGCCTTTGCGTTAATTGATAGCTCCAATGGCGTTTGGAGGTGTGGGTTTTCAATTGACAGCAACTATAAACTCGGATAAGCAGAGGTAAGCAATTTGAGTTAGTGGTTGCAGTTTGCTATGGTCTAATTGTAGCTTAATTGGGGCATTCTGGTTTTGTTTATGATTAGTTATTGTTGCTAATTAATCAGAGAGTGTTTGTAATTTAGTCTGAGCTAATTGTAGTTTGAATTGGGTTTGGGTTAATATTTTAGTTATTGCTTCATCTGGCGAAAGGATTACATATGCATAAACTATATACATTAATACATGTACTATGACTCAAAGTGCTCTATCCTTCAACACCTTCTGAATTACGTGATTTCCCAAACAGTTGGATACATTATGTTGTTATATTTATGAGGGAAAATAATAATAATAACTTTTTATTCTTTTTCTAATCAAATTCATATTTTGGAAAAGATAGATGGCATTTCCGCTGAAACTATGTTGTTGTTGTGGAGTATGAGGGAGAGGCACAACATTGACTCGAAGTACAAATTCTACTTCGATACACTTCCCGAACAGTTTAATACTGGTTTGTCCTGCTGCCTAACTCTTAAATGTTTTAAGCTTTACATTTATCCATTCATTATGATCACATGGGAGCTAAATGATTCGCATCTAGGAGATTACTTTTTAAGAATTTATCTCCTAGTTCTACCAGCTTTATCTTGCCTGGTCAATTTGTTGAAAAGAAACATATATTATTAATAACACTTGTCTTCCATACTTTCTCCTACTATGATGAGCAGACATTGAATTTCAGGCATTCTTCCGTTGACCATTATTACTTTGCAATTTTTTAGTTTTCTTTTCATATTTGCCATGTTTTTTTTTTTCAAAATATCCTTTTAAGTTAAAGATTCTTTGGTCCACTAATTAGTAATTACTCCCTAGTTTACAATTTTACAACCTTAATTTGTATGGAAACACTTTGCAGACTCTTCTCTTCTCTCCCTTTTTTTGTACAAAGAAACTGTACAACGTTCATTCTCAATTCAAGCACTCAAAGTAAGTTCTATGATTTTGGTTTTAAAGCTAGATTTTTCAAGTTTTGCAGAAATTTTGAGGGGTTAAAATATTTTGAGCCATCTCATACAAATCTAGATTACTTGTTATTATGAGGGGCTATTTAATTTTGAGCTATCTCATTTCATCTAAATTATTCAGAGAGTGTTAAAGTGTAATATGCCTGGTGTAGCACATTTTGGTCCAAGATAGAAAGGGTAGCACATTTTTAAAATGTTGCTCGATCGAGGTAAAGTTAGTTTCTTTCCTTCGGTGAAAGTCATTTTTGGTAAAGAATTTTTTTTTTTTTTTTTTACATAAGCTTAATTAACTGAATAAAAGATTACAAACTATAATAAAGTTAGTTATCACGTCTCTATCTCTTCTGGCGTTCTTCATCAAAATCCTACCGTCTAATTTCAAGTTGCTAATTAATCAGAGTGTTAAAGTGTAATATGCCTGGTGTTTGATGTTGTGGTTGTTGCTAGAATTCTGGTCCTGTTTTTGTTAGTGTTTAAATGGTCTCTGAAGCTGTCTGGTAAGCTTGCTAATCTTCTGATGTTTGTCTGCCTGCTGCCTTAGCTGGACCTGCTGATCCCTGTTCATGTTCTTATCTGGATATGCTGATTTCTGTTCGTGTTTTTGTCTCTGTGATGGGGCCTTGAGGGCTGTTTTTTGATGTGTGTTGCTTCTTCATTAAATGCTTTAAACACAATATCTACCATATAGAATAATAAGGGAAAATATAACGAGATGTTATACTATCTAAAATTCGAATGATATTGGCCTATTGGGTAGAATCTCTATCTTACAAGCCAACTCTTTAGCAATTTAATCTCTGTCTTAAATTACCAAATTGCCCTTATCTTTTCAGTAATCTCTTAGACGAGTTGTCTATGTGTCTTATAGTACATATCTTGTGCATTTAGAATTAGTTTTTACAATATTAAAAAATAAAAATCATCACATTTTCTAACTTGGTAAAACAGATGGACAAGGCAGCTCTCCTAGAAAGAGTAGTAGAGCAAGTTAAGGAGCTAAAGAGAAAAAATGAAAGTTAGCTCTGGTCCTGGTTCCAAGAATTTCACAGGTTTCTGCCTTTTTTTTTTCTACAAATATTTTCTATTTCTGGGGGTAATTCCTCATGTAGATATGTTCATATGTATTATCAAGTTTCTTTTGCTGGTGCCATTTGTTTCTGTAGCAGAGTATTTTCTCTCAGTTTGCCTTGTCCTTCTATGTTTTCCAATTAGAACTTAGCTGAGGTCTTTTGAGAATATACTCTCCATTTTAGCTGATGGCTATTGCATGTAAAGTAAGCTTTTGTAGCTATGCTAACCTTGATAATCGTGCACTAATAAATGATACAATTTGTTCCTTAAGCTCTTAATTGATAGGCAAAGGCAGATGAATTAGCTATTTGTCATTTTTCATGGATTTGGCATCCTTCAAATCCCCAACAGTTCAAAACCGGTGCCAAAGGGGGGGTTTGAACCGATGCCTTTTTACCTTTTTCGTCTAGTTTCACTTGGAAATCTTTGATACATTTTGAGTATAACTGATTTTTAAGTCAATCAATCACTATAATAACTGCCCCAAACCAGGTGGACAGGCGGCTATTCGACAGGCGGACACTCAGCATTATTCGGCTCTCAGCCTCAATATAGTTCTTTGACGAACCTCGGTTTTGTCACTAAGTTTTGTACTTAGTTTACTTTGTTCATTGTAAATAGTCCGTCTGCTTGGAGGTTGTACAGAATAGGCGCCAATCTGGATGTTTCCCATCAAAGTATAATAGGAACAATGCCCGAATGCCGTCTGTTTGCCAACAAACAAGCGGCCTCATTCGTTCCTTTTAGATTCCAATTGTATATTGTTAAGTGACTATGAGTTCTTCTTCTCTGACAAAGGGAGAGAAAGTTGTGCTTGAAACTTAGAGGAATAGTGGCTGAGTACCGTCTGTTTGCCAAAAAACAGGCAGCTTGGTTCGCACCGTTTAGGTTCCATCTCAAGTTTGTCGGAGTGACTATGAGTTAACCCTTGGGGTTAATCAATCTCTGTCACTTTGATTTGAGTGAGTAGAAGATATAGACGACTTTGACCGCATGGTACCTCTTTTTTCGCCAAGTTTTTCTTGGCTATTTACTAAAATTATGCCGACTTTATTGTTCCAAGCAATAACAGGCAGTTTCTGACTTAGATTTTAACTGTCTCCCGCGTGTTTACAGTATAGCGGTACGTTTATCTTTGTCTCAGGCCAAACGAATGCGATGTTTAGTTATGAAACACTCCGTAGGGCCGTTTGTTTTTGGTTTATAGAGCAATGTGCCTGATGGGCGTGCGAACGGTCGTACATTCCACACTCAATCAAACACATTTATTAACAAACACCTTACAAACCAAGCATAATGACAAGTAAGAGTTCGGTCCACAAGGAACATGATATGATTGCCAAAGATCTTTACACTTAAGCTAGTTCGAAGTCAATTGGTGAATAGGGGTTCGTCAAGAAGACAAACAAACTATGGTTCTAAATCAATGAATTAAAGATACTAGGGAATGAGATCCGCTCAACCAAGGCAAATAGGCAAACGGGGAGTAAAATAGACAAGATATAGCAAGGACTATATGTAAAATCAACCTCATGCAATTAGAAAACAACTCTCACTACTAAACTTAGATTCCTCATTAGTTTAGCAATAGATGATACATAATCAAATTACAATAAGTAATGACGTACTCAATTTACACTTCCATGTCAAATTAGGCATATCATACTATCAAGCTCCTTAGTCAAGGGTAGCTAAACCTATCATGAGGAACTAACAAGCAATCTCATATAATCAATTTAATTGCAATACAAACATCAATGCTTCTCCCACATTTGCATAGTTAACCCAAAAAGGTCGAGCTTCACCCAACCCCTAGCAAGAAAACTACTCACAACTCATGTTTATCAACATGCAATCAAGAATTAGGGTTCTAAATACTTCAATAATTGGGGAAAAGTGGTTAACAATTGAAATAACTATCATCCAATAACAAATTACCAAGAACTAAGAAGATTTAAATAACATGCAAATACCAAATGGAATCTGAAATTAAAAGGAAGAAGGTTGGAGAAATTACTAATTGAAGCTTCAAATGTTGAATACAAATTGCCCAACTTTGAGAATAATTCTTGAATTTCACTAATACAATGATTTGATTTGATGAAAACTAAGCTAAATTAATCCTAAGGAATGTTTCAAACTAAGGGAGGTTTCTGAAAACTAGGCTATTGTCCTGCTTCTCCCGTCTTCTTTTAAACGATCTCAAAAGGACCTTAAATAGTCCGTACAAAATCGGCTGAGATCGGGAAAAGGTCCGACCGAACTATGGGTAAGTTCGGTCGGACTCAGGGTAGGTTCGGTCGAACCATGTGTAGGTTCGGTCGAACCTCCCTGATCCTTGTTTGGTCGAACTTTTGAGGTTCGACCTCTCCTGCAAAATTGCTGAAAACAGGTTTGACACTGCCTTCACTGCACCCTGGAGGTTCGGTCGAACTTTTGAAAAGTTTGACCACACCAAGGTTCGACCGGACCTTTCAGAGGTTCGGCCACACCTCCTCTTGCACTTCCTTTTCTTGCTTCCTCTCCTTCCCTTTTGCCTCTCTTTCCTTTGTCCATGGCTTCCATGCTTGGCCAAGGGGCCTCCCACCGTGCATAGGACTGTCATGGAACCTGCAGAAGATACCAAAGTTCACGAGAGCACGGGGATGATAAAATAATGCATAAAGATTATCAAAATAAGCATTACTTTTCATCAACACAAAAAGAAGCCATAAGAGGATAATGAGGTGGAAAAACCTAAGAAAAATAAGAGGAAAAAGACCTAAATACTACCCCTAAGAGTGACATAAATGTCACTCATCAAACTCCCCCACGCTAAGCCTTTGCTCGCCCTCGAGCAAAGCAAAGGAAAAAGAACAAGGGAGAAAGAATTAGTTATTCAAACATGCAAGGAACAAAAGAAAAACCGAAATTGCTTTTAGCAAAAGCAACAAGCCATTTAAACCCCAAGGTCGCCGATGAGGATGAGTTGTGATCTCGTGAGGGTTTCCAGAGAGCATACCCCACAACTCTTACAAAATTGCGTTCAAGACAAACCAAAAACAAGGGAAAAAGAAACAACAAATCCAACACAAATCATAGCCAAATCGAGCTTTTGGAGATAACAAACATGAATGAGTGTCAAACTTTCTGAGTAGTAGAAGTGAGCATGCAAGGGGATGCCGAAAGTTGATTGAAGGATAAGCTATGCTAAGCATAGAGAACTCAAACATGCACCACTCCCCCCGCATTCCATACAATCTTACCGCGTTCCCTCATCTAGATTCAAATCCGCCCTTGGAGATAGCATCAAGTGACTCCTCGAAGGAGCCGGAACAAAGATAAAACACTGCAAAATAGGGGAACCTGACATCTCACCAAGTCATGCCTTCTCCATATGCTTGAGTTCCAGCTCCCTCCACCGATAAGTGACTCAACCAACCTAGGTCAACAGGGCATTGAAAGGGTTATAACGATGGCTAGGGGGGTAAGGGTGTGGAGGAATTTGGAAATTGGTGCTTAGCCTAACCGTGAAGCAAAGGGTGATCAAGCCTCTTTTTCAAAATCAATCATCAACCAATTTTCAAACTACGTTGCCACAATCTTGAACTAAAATGCCAAACACTTTTGAGCTTTCGCTTTCCTCTTACATCTTCATTCATCAACCCTTCGTTTGTCACATTCTCTCTCTCTTTTTTTTTTTTTTTTTTTTTTAGCTTCAAAGGCTTTTTCTAGGATTTACATTTGCTTTTCTTGAACATATATTCACAAAAAACACTGCTTCACTTTCCAAGTAGAACCATTCCGTTCCAAATTTCAAATCAAAACTACAATAAACCCTCATGGCTTGAGCTTCACGATTCTAAGGGTGAAAGTAAAACAAAAGGGCCATGGGCTTGCAATGTGCTATAATCAAGGAGGGGAAGATTCAACATGGTAAGGGCAAATGCAACCCAAAAATACAAAAGAAAAAAAAAAAACTAATACTAGAAAACAAAAATAGTCACCGAATGAAGAATGCCTTTGTCATTCGTAGGTTAGTTCGGTCTCGATCTCGGGAGCCAGACGCCAAGTTCTAGATCTAAGCATGCCTTGGTGAGGATCCTACGCCGCTCATACAAGTAATGTTGGAGGCTTGAACAATGAAGCTCACATCGGGTTACAAAAACCATCTCTAGGGCTTCAAATCCCCTAATGAGAGCAACACCTTCTTACCACAAACAAGTGAATTTGGGTTCGATGGGCCTAACGAGTTCTAGAACAACTACCTTAGCATGAACATGTCCCAGAGTCAACCAATGGCAATCCCGAAGCATGCAAACTTATAACACTCAAGAAGCAAAGCATTCAAACACACGAGTCAACATTATTATGCTCGAAATGAAAATGAAACAACTAAGCTTTTCGTGGTTTGCCATGAATAAAAAGGAAAATCTTTTTCACCCCCCCTTTTTTTTTTTTTTTTTTTTTTTTTTTTTTTTTTTTTTATGCAAGGAGTACAAGAGAGATAAGAGGCTAGTAAACATATAATTCTCAATCGACAAACAAAGATCGTTCGGCATCAATACCAACGATCACCAGATTCCGAGGAATCAAATGCAAACAACCTCGAACAATCAACTCCATTCTAGTCTAAGCTAACTATGCACACAAGGAAAAAAAAAATAAAGGAAAATAGGGAAAGATCTCACCAAATGCTGCTTGAAATGGAACACAAGGCAAAATTGCGATCTCACCAAGGTTTCCGGAGCTTGAGTTGCTCCTTATCCCATCATTTTGTGCTTCCGTTTTCAAGCTATAAGGAAAGTGAGCCAAAAGAAAAGAAACACTACAACTATACAAAGAAAAGTTAGTGAACAAAAGGAAAAGACTAGAATTATAAACAAAAGAAAAAGATTGACAAAAAGCTATCTACAAAATTTGGATTTTGGGATTTGGATTTTGGGATCAAGAGAGAAGAGGGAAAAACAACTTCAATTTTTTTTTTTTTTTTTTTTTTTTTTTTTTTTTTTTTTTAACATCATCATCATAAGAATATTACCAACCAAAAATCATCTCTAACTACAATAAATTCATTATCCGTGATGGTTCTCCATATGCACAAGCTACCATCCTACCACACTACCCTCCTATGTACACTTCAACCAAAAGGAACATCCTCCCCCACGCTAGTCTTTTGCACGTCTCGAGCAAAAGGAATAGGCATGAAAGTCCGGGGGGGGGGGGGGAATGGAGGGAGAGAACCCTCATTGGGGGTTTCTATCCTCCCGTTCCTGAGGGGGGTTCATGAA